GCCCAAAATGTGACTGATGTGGAAAATGGTATCAGTATCTGCCATTGGTCACTGAAGTACATGTACATGTAGGGGGTAAATGTAGGGGTACATGTACATGTGGGGGTACATGTACGGGTACATGTAGGGGTAAATGTAGGGGTACATGTACATGTAGGGGTACATGTAGGGGTACATGTAGGGGTAAATGTAGGGGTACATGTACATGTAGGGGTACATGTACGGGTACATGTAGGGGTAAATGTAGGGGTACATGTACATGTGGGGGTAAATGTAGGGGTACATGTACATGTGGGGGTACATGTACGGGTACATGTAGGGGTAAATGTAGGGGTACATGTACATGTAGGGGTACATGTAGGGGTACATACTTAGGGGTACATGCACTGTACTTTGAAAATACATGTATCATGTTTAGCTATGTACATGTGGAAGTTAGAATCACACATGCATTGGTACCGATAAATCTATCTTTCACCAGGGATCTTAACAAGTTTACATACATGTATTTGACATGTACTGGTACGCATTCAAGCACCTCATGCTTGTACATGTATAAAGTGATACATGTATGTACATGTACTTGTATGTAAACAACTGCAAACTAAGAAAGCTAAGAAACTTCATGTACATGCTCTGGTTTGTTATCAGTAATCTAAACTTTGTTAATTTTACTCTTGCATCAAGTTTACATGTATTTATGAGCATCCAAAAGTTAATTTGTTTAGTTCTTGTTAATGAATTTGTTTGTGACATTTTCAGGTTTACACATAAATACATGTCCAGTATGCTTTGCGAGGAACTGTCTACGCAATTCTTTTCCCCTCAAACTCTACTTACATTGTACCATATGTACATGTACAGAGTAGATTGTCAACTAAAAAAAACCCAAAAAACAAGAAATTGTAGCTTCCGTTCATGTTGCCATGGAGCTCCAGCATTGCCCATTAAAACGCTCACACACTGTCCTGAGAATGTTTGGCCAGGGTAATTTGAGATATAGTAGCCTGTACTTGTACTCAGGACATGTAATGATGATGTAGGGTATGGTAGGGTAGGTAGCTGGGGGCATTAAGGGTGGAATGGTATACTTCCCATCCAAGCAAGATACTGGATGAGTCACTATTTTTAATTCCCTTCAAGAATGCCCTTCATTACACACATGTACATGTATATATGCACAAACACATGCACCTGTACTTAGGCCATTTACTTCCTGTTTGGAATTATAATGCATATTATAATGCGCACATTCAACTAAATTGTATTGGATAAATACATGTACATTGTAATACTGGCATATGTTTTGATTCTTATAGTTACTTCAAATGCTTTCTTTGTCTTTTACAGGTTACAAGGAATATGCAGTTGAAAAGAAGTGCAGATAGTTCACTTCAATTTTTGGTTGAAATGATTCAAAACAATTGCGTTGTCAAACTTTAGAACTCCATGAAGTAGCTGATCCAGTGAGCGACATTTGTACATGTACATTATAATTTTTACCAACAATTTAAATGTTCTTCATGAATTCATGTACGGGTACATGACATGACTTAGTGACATACTAAGAACATACATGTAGAAGTCAGTGTGCGAATTAGTTTTATTCCATAAATGCATGTGTTTATTTATGGCCATCATCCTTCCTGTCAACTTCAAATTACAAACCATTAGCTTGGTACTGTACAACAAGACTGTACTTGTTCCTCATCCAGCTCCTTTGCAATTAACATTGTGCATCAAAATGAGTTGTCATTTCAACAAATTTGACCTTGGTCTTGGAGCCGTTGTGACTAGTTAATTCAGTGTGGACAATTAACAGCCAGTATAAGTACAGAAGTTCAGGCAAACACTGTCCAGTAAGTCGTCATTTTGTTGATGGGTGTTCTTGTAATGATGTGGTCATTAGTCGAACAGCCATTTCCTGTTGTACATGTACCCTGCAGTGTATCTTTACTTATCAGTCCATCAGCTCTATCCTCATTCTCCACTTTCCCATTTAAATGCACTTGTAGAACCTTTCAATTAATTAGAGACTGACCCCACCAGCTCAGGCCCAGGGCTTTGCATTGTTGATTCCCACTAATTCTGTTGGGTTGGTTTATGCATTGAAAAGCAAACAACAGATCCCAGATTTGAAAGAGATTCATTTTCTTTAGCTTTCACGTTTCTCTGATAGTGTTTAACAGTCATCTACATGATACTTACATGTACCAGTGTATGGCACTCTTGAGCAGTGTATTTCCAAAATTTGGGAAATCTGATTTTCTAGGCATCTGTAACCAAACATCTTCCAGAATCCTCCCAAATCCTCTGCCATAGCATAGAAAACAATCACACTTACATGTAACTTCACAGTAAATGTGTAGCCCATGGCTCATTGTAAAGGAGTAGAAATGGTACCTGGCTGGACTCTACACATGTACATGTACCCCTCCGCAATCCTGCAAATAAATCTCCTATTTTTATCAGAGGATGTTGGATGATATGAGGTTTGTGGTTTGTCTGGTCAATCAATAAAAACTAGATACATGTACATGTATGTACATGTACATAGATTCTGTAATATTATTCAAACTAATCATACCCGTTAATCAAAGTAATCATACCCATAAATCAAAGTAATCATACCTGTTGATCAAAGTAATCATACCGATAATCGAAGTAATTAACCCATGAATCAAAGTAATCATACCTGTTCATCAAAGTAATCGTACTAATAAAGTAATCATGTCCATTAACCAAAATAATCATACCTGTTAAAGTAATCATACCCATTAACCCTAACTCCCTAGGGCGTGTGCAAAATCATATTAAAATTGGAGGATTTAGGACTGTTAGGGTTAATCAAAGTGATCATACCGGTTAAAGTAATCGTACTGATAATCAAAGTAATCAGACCTGTTAAAGTAATCATACCTGTTAATTAAAAGTTATCATACCGGTTAAAGTTCCAGTACTGGTATAGTGTACCAGTATATCTACAATATGTATGTGCATTACATCTACGTGTAGTTGAAACTTGAAATAGATCCTCATAAAACAGTCCTCATAAATATATTACACAGATCACATACTAGAAATTAAAGATGTTTATTTCCTGAATGACTCATTATGTCAAGTGAAACATCTGGCTCTGATTCACTAGTGTTGAGAGTGTCAACACAGATCAGGAAGATATAAAATACTGTGCTTGTAGAAATATATGTTGCAAACTTTGCCCTTCCATCTCAGTTCTCAAAGGAAAGTTCTCTGTAAATAGTCCTATGCACGTTATGGGTGCTTGTGTGTGTGTTTCCCAGATTTGATAAGTAAAGAGGTTTTGAATTTTTGTCCCCAGACCCTTGGCCAACCATCAAGGTTTATCATGTTAGAGGATGTTGTATTACAGGCAAGCAATGTGACTGTACTTGTACATTTGTAATTCACCTGGAAATGAAAGTAAAAATACTGTGCTGTGGATGTTGTGACTGGCAGCCATCTTTCCAGTAATTGGATTATGGAGGGATAGCACAAAAGGCCTGTACCAGTACATGTATCCCTGTGGAACAAAAGTTCTTACCAGATAATTGTCTGGTAAGAACTTTTGTTCCACAGGGATCAAGTGGCTGCCATGCACTACACTGTGCCTCTAGTGCATGTAGTTTCCAGCATGTTAGGGTTTGGAAGGATTAAGGAAAGTTCTAGCCGGCCTACTTGTATCTTTAAAGTGTAGCTGCAATGAATTTTTATTTTGCACAGTTTTTCTGCATCTTTGTACTTTTCTTCAATGTATGAAAACTCTTGCACACTGTGGTTAAATATGCACTGAAAAGCGCATGGTTTTAAACAATTAAATTATCCATGCAACTGAGGGCGCTGTTGTTGTGAAATCATCTAGGGAGACATGGTTCATTTCAGTGCATAGGTGTTTCTGTTTAAATTGTGAACCCAGGGTTTTCCTACTGGAAACATTCTGAGATAGGGATTTACATGTACATTTTCTTATTGCTGTGCACATAAATAGCAATGAATGAGCAAAGAAGAGAAAACTGAGTCCTGGAAAATCTACAGAAGTGCAGGACTATTTGTGTACAAACCAATGTAACATTGAGGTTTCTTCCTGTGATGACATCACAGTTTTGCTCATGAATAGGAAAATACTCATTAGCATAAAACAAAAGGCGTTAAAAATAACCTTTGAAATAATGAAACAGAAGTTGACAATAATTAAGGTTAACTGTGGCAGAAAGGTGCATTTTAGGATTGTAATCACAAAAATCTATTGCAACCACCCTTTAAGATTGGAGTGAGGGGCATTGATGAGGTACATATACGTTATTTAATGTCATCAAATCACAGTATTCACATTCAAATCCCAAGAAAGTTTAGCTTTTTCAGTGTGTACTGTGCAGTATGTGTCTAGCTATACTATACAGTCATGTACATGGATGCAATAAAATCAATGGCCTGTGTTTGTTCAGGTACAGTACATATGCGGTAGCCTACCACGAATGTGAGGTGTAAAAAGGTCTTAATTAAATGAATACCTTGAAATCTATCATGACCTGTACAATTTTGTTTATCAAGGTTACCGTACATGCATCTCTTCTTACCGGTGCCTTGTACAATAGAATGCTGTCAACTACATGTACATGTACCGATGTATGTAACTTGCGAACCATTAATGAACTCAGTTGGTGGTACATGTAGTCATCTCGTACATGTAATCTGCTCCGAGCAGAACAAAAGAGGGCTCTTTTTTTTTTTAAAACTAATTTACTCCGGCATATATGGTCTTTGCGCACATGCAGAATGCATGCAAAAACCTGATTGTAACCACCTGTCTTTCTTTTTGCCGATAGGGAGGTGCACTTCAGCTCAGCTGGGGCGGATTGTAGACCATTGTATGTTACATATAACAAATGGGAAGAATTCTCGTCCATGGTGGTGTCAATTATCGGTCATGCAGGTCTTCATTGTGCAACTGCATTTTTTTTACATTTTTGTCTTTTTTTCAGATGGTTTCATGGGAAAATCACAAGGGAAGAAGCAGAGAAATTACTTGACCCATGGAAAACAGGAACATTCCTGGTGAGAGAGAGTACGCATTACCCAGGGGACTACACGCTATGTGTTTGTGATGATGCCAGAGTGGAACACTATCGAGTCATGAGAAATCAAAATAAGATGACCATCGATGAGGAAATCTTCTTCAACACATTGCCAGAGTTGGTTGCAGTAAGTTGTACTGTGTAAATGTGCATGCATGGTTGCAATGTTAAGGGTGTAGAGACACACAATTTGTGACCGAAGCTATCAAAATGAGTCAGAAGTTACTGGCACATTTAAGTTATGTATGCTTATGCTTTAGAAGCATCTTGAGCATACTTGTACATGTACAAATCATCCACATACTGGTACACTGTGTATTATTTCAATTTTCATCAGGTTTGACAAAGTGACTGGTACATCAAACCAAAGAGCTCAGTTTTGCTCTTTTAAATGCTGACAAAATTAGTGAAAAAATAAGGCTGATTTTGTGGGATCCAATTTTATTAATGTTTGATGCAGGAGCAAGATTCTGAGTTTGTTTTTTTTCCCTTGACTGTTGCGAAGACAGTGGTTTTTAAATATTGCTGCATGCTCTTGCTCAGCCTGCAGTTTTATTCTGCTACATTGTACTTCTACCATTTTCCTTTGCTGCTGCACTGCTGTCACTGCTGTCACTGCTGCACTGCTGTCGCTGCTGCACTGCTGTCGCTGCTGCACTGCTGTCGCTGCTGCACTGCTGTCGCTGCTGCACTGCTGTCGCTGCTGCACTGCTGTCACTGCTGCACTGCTGTCGCTGCTGTATTGCTATCGCTGCTGCACTGCTGTTGCTGCACTGCTGTCGCTACTGCACTGCTGTCGCTGCTGCACTGCTGTCGCTGCTGCACTGCTGTCGCTGCTGCATTACTGTCGCTGCTGCACTGCTGTCACTGCTGCACTGCTGTTGCTACTGCACTGCTGTCGCTGCTGCACTGCTGTCGGTGCTGCACTGCTGTCGCTGCTGCATTGCTGTTGCTGCTGCAGTGCTGTCGGTGCTGCACTGCTGTAGCTGCTTCCAGTGTTAAGGTTGCTCTGCATGCTACTGTCTCGAATGCTACTGCTGTTAATGTTGCTGTTGGGTTGTTGCTGCTGTTTTTATCGTTTCAATCGCTACTGGTGTCATTGTTGTAACATCTCAGTTTGTTTTCTTAATGTAGTGTTTATTGCTGTAGCATTTCTGTCTGTTAAATGGTATACTGTTTCCATTGCTGCTACTGCCATTGTTGTTTCTGTTTAGATTTTTGGGTTGTTTCTGTGTCTTGTGTGTATGTAAGTGTATGAACATATATATATGCAGCCTATATTTAACAACTTTTTTATGTTGAGTACATGTTCCAATTGTTGATTTAATTGCTAATCTGAGTACATTTTTTACAGTGGTCAATTTTGCCCCTGTTTTTTGGGTTGAAGTTTAGATTTTTATGAATACTTTATGTTTGTTAATGTTTTCTTGTAGCATTATACCGAGGATTCTGATGGCCTTGTGAGTCGTCTCATCACTCCTATTGTCAAAATTGGCTGTGATGGATCAGAACAATTCAAAAAAGGTCAGATATTTAGTCTTGTTCACTGACTTGCATGTACATGTAGGTTACAAATGCTGATATATTCATCACCTCATCCCATTTTTATCAGTCTTCATTTGTGTTTTTGACAAGTGGTCTCCACTTTCACTTTTTCTTGTGTTCAAAAAGATGAAAAAAAGTCTTTTTGAAGCAATACATCATAAAAGATTGAAGAGATACTCATGCATATCAATGCATGTGTCTCTATAAATATGTATAAACAGTACTACTGAGTAAAATAAGTTGGTCAATTTCTAAAACAAGAAAGCATTTAAATAAAGGCTCTGAATACAACTCTTTCAGTAGAATTAATCATGGGGCAAATTTGATGGAAAGACTGAGATGTTTTGAATATTTTTTGTATCACAGCTGGCTGGTGCATTGATAGGAGATTGATCAAACCAGGCAGAGTCATTGGAAAGGGCAACTTTGGAGGTAAGTGCCTAGTCTTCAAGGATTCAAGAATCAAATAAGAGAAGTATGGATTGAAATTTGATTTTGCACTTTGACAAAAACATTGAAAGAAATCATGTAGCTACTTTGCCTGTAGTCCCAGATTTGAGAGATGAAAATTTGGACTCGTGCACAAATATCTACTCCATTCGTTAAATAATATATTTCCAGGTTTTTGATACCTAGATTTGGAAAACTAGTTTTTCAATTGCAATTTGTTTTGTTAAAAAAGCTTGAATTCTTTTGCAGAGGTAAGAAGGGGGGAATACCTAGGGAAGGATGTTGCCATCAAAGTGACACGAGGTGACAAGATAGAAGCACAGAGCTTTCTTGCTGAAGCATCTATTATGACGTAAGTAACCAACTTGTAAACATTCAGAAATTATTGTATTAAAAGGGAAGTTGTAATTTCCAAGAAACAACAGAAAAGATTTTATTTGACATCCTGCATAATGATACTCATTGATCCAATAATTCAATCAACAATAAGAGGTACATGTGCATGTATAACTCTATAGTTTGTACAAATATCACAGACTATCCTCAGATCTGTAAATATTGTCGCATCTTTCTGTATGAATTACTTTTTTTGCCTCTCAGTAGAGTTCTTTTTCTACAGGTCAGATTTCAAAGTCTCTGAATGTTTAAAATGTAAAACATTGGTACAGATTAAGTTACCATGATGATGTATAAGTAATGGTTGTGTTGCCTGCAGGCAATTAAGACATGGAAACCTGGTCCAGTTAATTGGCGTATCACCCGGCGACAGCTTATGGATAGTACTGGAATTTATGTCCAAGGTGAGTCCAGACAAAATAGATGACATTACCATTTAAACCCTGTCTTCAGTAAGACATTGAAATGGTTTCATTTCCAGATGTTGTTCATTTGCAGCTAAGCAAGAGTTTTAAGAAAGCCCACTGTAACTACAAACAAGAATGTTTTGTTTAATGGTTTTGTTTTGTGTCTAAAAATGTTTTAAAAATTGCAGATGTGATACATAGGGAAAAGATACCGTTTAGCTTATTTTCTTCTCCCTAATAAATGAACATTATTTTGAGTTGGATATAGTCTCTGGTATTACTTTCATCCTTAAAGATTTGAAGGTGGATACTGCATTTTTCCTGATGAGAGTTGCTAGTTTACATCGGGTTTTGTTCTGTCCCAGGGGAATCTACTTGATTACTTGAGATCCAGAGGAAGAACAGTTATCAGACAACTTGACCAAATCAACTTCTCCATGTAAGTTTTTATTTTCCCGCTTATGATATTCTTTGCAGTCCTAATTTGTCTTTTCACCTGGAATAGAGATGAAACTGCATTATTTCACTTCTTTAAGTTGCAAATTAAAAACTGATCATCTGACTTTCTCTGAGAAACAAAGGAAGTTTCCTTTTTTGGGCCATGAAGTGATACCTTTCCATTTTTTTTCAGGTTTATTGAAGTATATATTGCAATGTAATTATATGTGAATGAAAGCAATGTGCCATGCTTGAGAGTAGTAGATTTTAATCACTATGAGTGCGTGTTTCAAAGAATTTAAAAAGTGGAAGTTGAATTTTTGTTGCGTGTTTAATACCTTAAATGAATATAATCTTTCTTTGCAGACACATAGCTTGTGGAATGAGGTATCTTGAAGAAAAGAAATTTGTCCACCGAGATCTTGCTGCCAGAAACATCTTGGTATCCGATGAAGACATTGCCAAAGTCTCAGACTTTGGCTTGGCTCAACATGACAAAGATGTTGCTGAAAAATCCAAGATTCCTGTCAAATGGACAGCACCTGAGGCAGTTAGGGAAAAAGTAAGCGACTGCTTGCAGTCAGCTTTAACGCCGGAATTACTGTGGGATAAATGATTTCTAGGAATTAAACAACGCTTTATTCATCTAGTGTTCCAAAAATGTTCAGAAACTGTTGTGTCCCTGTTTTTCAAATGCTGTAGAAAAATTAGGAAAGTAGGGGAGTCTTGAACTCCATTGAGAGAAAAAAGTATCAGTAAAGCTTCTTCAAACTTCAGAACTGCTATCAACCCTAATCCTGCCGGAAGCAGCACAGTGCATCAGGCTTTTCTTTGATGCACTTGGCAATCAGCTGCCAAACAACCTGGTCATGTGGAGACAATGGGAGCTAGTCTTGTTGAACCATGCCAGTGTTGGATCTTTTGGCTTTTGGCAACCACAGACTCCCAGGCTATTTGGCCTTAGGGAGAGTTGAACTATGGGATCTTGTTACACCGGGCATGCAAGCCACTTTGATAAATGATGCAGATGTGTCAGGCAGGGTTTTATAGTTAAAGTACCCTGGAGGGTTAGGATTAATGTAACATTTGGCAACTGAGAGTAGAATGCTTGTACAATAAAGTTTTGCTGTTAGTGGCCAAATCATGGAAATAAATCCACGCTCTTCAACAAGAAGAATTCAGATAAATTCATTCCTTCTTGACCAACCGCACCACTGTGTATTTAGCAATACCTCTTGTTTCAGTTGTGGTCGAGACAAAGTTTTAGTTATGCCTGGTTGGATGGAAACTTATTTACTAATTCCTGTTTGTTCTTGAAACTTCTCTTTGGTAGAAATATTCCACTAAGTCAGATGTGTGGAGTTACGGAATTCTTCTGTGGGAACTGTACTCATTTGGTAGAGTACCGTATCCCCGTGTGGTAAGTGCCGATATTTCTAAACTGCTGTTGGTATGTTTTCAGTCCCAAGTTGCCTAAAGTGCAACTGGGATTTAAGTATCTTTTGTCATGTTGAGTTGTAATACAGTTTTCTCTCAGATAACTTCTCCCAAAACTTGTCCAGTTTTGACTTTTATTGGAATGGCATGACATAAGATTCAGCCAGTATCATATCACACAGGTAGACTGATTTACATAGTGCTGTACTTGTCATCTTTGCTTGAGGGCACCTTTCCTTATGTGTGTCAACACTTGGGCCAAGCATTGCATATCTGTCAAAATGGCTCCCGTGGGCAATTTTGGTGATGGCCAAACACAACTCACATGTGTGTCTTAATGGAGTCAATTTTTGCACCCATGAAAGTGAAACGCATGAATGTAGTGTGTATGCGACACACCCAAAAATGTACACACAGTTTCCTTGTGTCGTCAATTTTTTTTGTTGAGTTGAATATTATAAGAAATAGATGTTTAAGAGATTCTTCCAGCCAAGTGTCCTGACTCATTTGTCTCCATTGTCTTTACCCTCAAACCACAGCCAGCTGATAACGTCATTCTGTTTGTAGAGGAAGGGAACCGTATGCAACCGCCTGATGACTGCCCAGAGAACATCTATGACGTCATGGTAAACTGTTGGAAGTTACGGCCAGAAAAACGGCCAAGGTTTGCTGACATCGAGAATCGATTAAAAGATCTCAGACAACAACTAATAGACGAACAGAAAAGGATGGAGACGACATCCTAAGAGGGTCGAAGGTCAAATTGTGGAAATGTTCCCTGATATATCTTTGGATATAGCCAAGATTATTGTTTATTTTGGTGAAGTATTCCTTTCTTCATTCCTTTTGGTTTTGGAGGCATGTTTTTCACAGAAATGGCCATTTATCCACCATGGTATTGATAGGCAGTTTGGTGTATTTTGTTGTCATCTTTTCTGAACTCCTGAAAAATATAACTGTTCAAACGTTCCAATGGGCTTTATTCACAAAATGGCCATTTAGATCATGACCCCTGAATCCACTTCATTTATTGAACTCTCTGAAATGGGAAGAAGCCTGACTTTTTGGCTACAATTACAGGTATAGCCTCTTGTTGATTTTTCTTGTCATTAAGAAAATTAGGGTGACGTGATGTTTTAATCCATAATTGGAATTGCCAATCATCAGTGCACAAAGATTGTAATCTAGAAGTTGCCCCTACCTGCCTCGACCAAAAGCACCCCCTCATTGGATTAAAAGAGCCATGTTGGTCAGTAATGTTTATTTTGTTGGTTGGTTCGAGAACCAGCCGAAGTTAACCAAAGGAATGTTTGTTGCTAAGGAAATAGCGCCCTCTCTTGGTGCAGCTCGAGGCCCATAGCATTATCCTCATCCTTCAACATATTAAGTATTAAAACAATTTATGCAGGAATCACCTCATCTATCTATGGCAAGATGGCTGATTCAAGAACAAGGCCAATTCTGTTGTTTCATCCACTGAATCTGAGAAAGTGAGATTTCTTTGACATGCAGTGGTTGCAAATTCACAACCAAGTTCATCCCACGATTCCACAGTGAACAAAATGTTCCTGTATAAAGTTCCAAATGAATAATGTTTTGCATTGTGTACTCTAAGACATACTGCGCAATGAAAGTCGATTCAAGGTATGTGTCTCCGAGACAAAATTTAGCTTACATAAAGTTGTCTCGCCTCTCTCAGTATTTTGTAAGAAACTGGTAGTATAGATAGTCATGCTGGAACCACACTGATCTTACATGTACATGTAGGTTGTGCCAACTTGAGTGTAACCATTTCACTAACCAGAGAGTTCCAGGTACACTCAGAAACTCAATCAAGGCATAAAAAGGTTCCCAGTCTTTTTCAAGTAGGCTATCCAGCGTTCAAGAGAATTCAGTCTGATTGGGTAATTTTTCAGATTTGAACCAATTTCACCAAAGGACTGTTTGCAAAGATCCATTTCACACTTACATGGGATGTGCACTTCTTGTTTGACAGTCAGTACACAAATCCAACTACTTTGAATTTTCAGACAGCCATAGTATTATGCTCTTGTTTAGGAAGCATCTCGTACCGTAATTGATGATGGTCCATTGCTAAGGAATAGTGCCGTCCTGCTGATATATGAACATTCACATGAAATGCTAGTGTTCCAGGGGGAATGGTCCAACAGAAAGCAAATGCTCCCGAATTTTTAGATGCTCTTTAAGGAAGGCCCAGTAAGGCCTATCTTTAATAACTCGAGTTCAAACCCTACCTTAATCCACTATCAATCTTTGAGGAAATTGGCTTTTTTCAGAACAGTTTTCCTGCTGTCCCTAAAACTGATCTTTGCTTCCTTGTTTCCTATCATTCCCAGTTGGCACTTCCCAAAAAAACAGTGCTTAAATGTGTCAGAGTGCACCAACATTGCCAGATCCAAAGTCGACCTGAATGTAAGGTAATCTCTAACTTTGTTGCACCAAGGCAGATTTCTCTCGGTGGATGCACTAACAGTCCAACTAAATCTAGGCCTGGATTTTGTTGCAGTTTGAAAAATTTCAGTTTCACCTGTTGAAAACTTGAAGGTTTGATGCAGTTATTATCACATTACGGTACTACCACAGATAAAATAATGACATCACTCACGCTCGTCTGAATTTTGTAAGTCTCCTTCCTATAGCCACTTACTTCCAGGTTTGATGTAATCCTGTCCAGTCCAAGAATCAGGACAGACAGATTGACTCTAGATCAACAGGTGGCAAATGTATACGTGTGCAGAATATGAAATCCAGTGTCCAATAGACACAACTTCAAGATTGTGCATATTGTTCATGGCCTGAAGTGAAATAGGAAACTTCTCCACATGTCTGTGCGTCTGCGTGCCTCACCCCAACTTCAACGTGGAATTTGTAGTACGGTTTGTTCACTCATGTATTCTGAACATGCAGGTTATATGCAAGGTACCAGGAGTGCATTTTACCTTAATGCAGTTCTGCAATATTTTGAGATTGATTTTTCCGGAGAGTGTTTCAGTAAACATGATTTTTATTAGATTTGTATATTACAAACAATGGTGTGTAGCAACTGACAATGTAAATGTTTTATTTTATATTCCTTCTTGCATATATATTGAGACTGAATTGAAATCCTGTAAGCCTGCACTGTATGTTTGTCATAATTCCATCTTTCTTTTCGAGCAGCCTCTCATTTTACAAATTGTTCTTTTAATCCTATAAAACTTACCACTGTAGAATCTGAAGCATAAAATTAAGGTTGATTGTATTTATAGATCTTGGTTCAACATTAATAGTTTGCTTCTGTTCAGCACGATATGATTCCAAGCTCAGAGCTGTATATCTATACTGCCATGGAAATGCTTAAGCTTTCTTAAATCTTGAGAAAATAATTTTTTTACTAATAAAAGTGGATTGTTCCTGATTTGCAAAGTTTACCTTGCAATTAATGTCCAAACAGCACACATTTCAACATAAAATCAACAAAAAGCAGGCTCTGATAAGCTCAAAAATCAAGAAATTTTGAAATGGTTGTGATGATAAAGGAATGTTCTCATGAATGTTCTATGCTGTTTGTGACGTGCAAGAAAAAAAAAGTATTTTTATTGTATTTATTGTAGTATCAAGTCCTAAATTTAGATCTAAGAGTAATCTCTTTGAGTGGAAGAGATATATGCAACAAATTTGTATATTTTGCATTAAAGTAAAACAAAAAGCAACCTTCAGCAGATGCCTGCGGTGTAGCCATTTTGAAGTATTAATAAGCAACTGTATAACTTAATTTGCATTGACTTCAATGGTTTGTATCCCACGGTCTCCTTGTCTTGCTTGTTCCAGCCTAGTATTGTTTAGAAATGTCTTTGATATGATTGGCCTGATGTACACATTGATGTGTTTCCTCTCTGAATAAGGTTCTTGTTATCAGGAAGTATCATGGTTCTATTTTTGTACTAGTGTTTGTCAGAATATAATTAAGAATTGATTGATAATGAAGCAGTGTTTTTACTTGCCAATACTCAGATTAATATTAATCAAATTTCTTGATCAGAATGTGGTTGATTTGTGCCTTTTGCTTTTACTTTGTAAAGGTGCATCTTGTATACTTTGAATTGCTCTTTTTTCTTTAACCAATGCTGATCTCAACGTGTATGTCATCAGTTTGGCATGAACTGGGCTTTCTTCAGTGCCACTGTGTGGTTAAAAGTATATCTGTATAAAACTGAATTCCCTCTCCAAAATCTGTGTCCATTGTTCAGGTCATTCACATACATATAAAATATGACATGAAACATTGCAGGGGATGAGAAATTATGTGTTTGTACAGTGCACAACATTTTTTCGGATTTAGAAGCATTTTTCGGCAGTGTTTGTGATAAAAAGCAATTCTTTTGTATGATATACTTCTTTTTTTGGTTACGTGCTTGTACACTACTTTTTAAGAAAATGGATTACTGTTGAACATTGTGTTGTTTGTATAATTTTCAAGCTATAAATTAAATGCTTTGTAACTGTGTACATGTGCTCTGTTTTAAGTGATTTGTGTATGCTTTACATTATTTAGCATGGGAATAAATCTGAAACATGATTCGACACTGAATTATGAAGTTGTCTTGTTGGTTTAATAGAACTGGATTAGGCTTGGTCACACTTTGTAGCTGATGAATTATAAAGGGTTAAATTGGAGGTTAATCTGATATATGGAAAGAGATCTTTTTATGCCTTGTTTGTTGCATTTTGGGGAAGTCTTTGAAGGTTTTTCAGTCATTTGCGAATATATGTAAAGTGTACAGGGAAGAGCCGTCTAAATATTTGCTCGTGGTGTATGTATAACGTATATGGTGGGTGACGAGCGAAGTGAAATGTGAACAGTCGTCGTATTTGACATGTAATATGTGAAGTAGTCGGGTACCGTTTCGTTGCTTTTGGAAGTCTGTTGATCTATCAAGGTACCTCTCTCGCCGACTCATCTCACAGCGTTCCTGACGACGATTCATTCAACGTCTGAACGTGGAGAGAAAAGGCAGAAAGTTGCGAAGCGCTAAACATGATGGTGAATATAAAATGCAAATGTCTGTAACCGTGTTGAAACTGCAGTGGAGTACAGTTCTCACTGAGACCATCGTGTTTTGGTTGGTCCTACCTCCATAGTTAATGGTAAGGTGTTTTTGGCGACAGTGGGTGTCATTTTATTTTTAAATGAAGCGACATAATCAGATTTAGAACAGCGGTGTGGAGTTTTAGGCCTAGTTCTCTGTGGTTCTAGTTAGCATGGTTAGGCCTACGTAGGCCCTTATGTTAGGCCCAACTTTAATTCCTCGTTTGACGTTCGACATTCACTGTTGAATAAGTAGGCTAACTGTTTGTAATTCAACGTTGAATAAGTACTTAAAGTAGGCCTAACCGTTGGACATTCAGGATGCACGAGGAACCACGGAGGAACTAACTTGACATCGGTACCCAAGCTTGGGTTCACACTTATATTATTACTAAAAATGTTAGATGCATTGTGGTGTGATCTGACAATATGCGCGATTCGCAGTAGTGTGCCTCCAAGAGTTTGCAATGCATTAGCTAATCACAATGCATGAAATCTATCAACCCAGTGTGCGTTAGGAAAGGGTTGACAGATTGTGTGCGTTATGATTGGCCAATGCATTGCAAACTCGTGGAGGGGCACAATTGTGAATCACCCATATTGTAACTAAGCCTAACTGTTAGGCTTAATGTGTGTTAATGTGGGACATCTCTTACCCGGGACAACTCATAACCCAAGTAAACATTATGTGTACATTTTATCATGGCTTGTGGCGTCATCACGTCAGAATGATTGCATATCAAGTGCGCTTTTCGGTTGCTGATAATGTAGCCGTCTGTTTTGTGTGTAATCGGATTTTCTTCAGTGAGCATTCGAAATAACTACGCCTTGTTGAAATTGTTGAGTGGTAGAAATAAGAACCAATTGAGAATGAAAACAAAACATGGAAAAACATTTCACGTGATTTCCATTTTCAAAAATATTTGTTGCCCTGAAAAGAGCCATCTATTTTGCGCAGGCAATAAGTTCTAGGTATTGAATCAATCTCTTTTTCCTATAAGTGGCAAAATGAGCCTGCATGCAGGTGTATGCTTCAGCGGTTGCAATGTGTAGCGTGGGGCGGATAGGATGAATGGTGGTGCAGCATCTTTAGAACCACTGATTAGCAGGCACTCCCAAGGGCTTTACTCCCCTTGTTTGTGATTGATGCTGATTTTGCGGGAAAAAAAATTTGACACAAAGAAGAAAGCCCAAAGTCAACCTATGGTGATATTGTCCAAAGTATTTTAATTACTGGAGCATGTTTATTAAAATCTTTAAGTAAAGTACAGTTCAATTTTTATTACCGGGTTTGAAGTGTCCTGGGTATGAAGTGTCCCGGGTGTGAAATTTCGGGCACGAGTTGTCCCAGGTATGAGTTGCCCCGAGAATAAGTTGTCCAAAAACTATGTGCGTGACCGTATTGTTGCCAGGTTCCAAATTTCACCACCTATTGTCAAGTCTGATTAGTTTTCACCGTAAATGGTGAATAGTTAACATCGGTGATATCGATATCAAACCCGTATCGATATACATATATCAATATATCTTACTTGGGCCATTTTGCCACATGACATCAGGATATTACTACTAATAATATCGCCATTACAAGGATAAAATCATCTTGTCCTTAAATATCTCCTTTTTACCTGTGTTTTAGATCCTGAATGTTAATGATCTGCCAAAGATTACAATCCTTGCATTTGAAGTCGCTGTGACAGATACATGTATGCCATGATGTCACAGGACAGAAGTACATCTCCTGGTTCCATGGCAACCGGCAGCATCACTAGTAGTCAAATTGACAGAACTAAACCAGCTGAGTCACTAGATGAATGGTTGGAAAAACAAAATATGAAGTGGGTAGGTACAATCAAATTCAACGTTAAGTCCTTGAAGCGTAGATATAATGCAAAACTAAACCAAAGTGTCTGCCTATGCCTTTCATTACATTTACATCACAATAATTTGAATCTGAAATGTTGATGTTAATATCTTTGCATAAATGTTTACTTGTGATAATGTAAGGGATGATGCAGTGATAAATATGTCTTGAAGTAATTACAACTCCAAAAAAGACTAAAATGATGTAAGTTCGGGATTGTTTTTAGAAGTTGTGCAATGAGTCATTGTTTATCATGTTTCTTTTTTCAGTTCCACTCCTAGCGGTAGCACATATCCCAGCTTTCACTGAGTACATCCTGTACACAGGATATACCAGCTGGATATTATACAAATTCTGTTTAGCACATAACATTAAAGGGATCAATGATATGATTATGATCTTTGTAGGAAGATTGGCCAGTGATCCAGGGAGATGACTGTGACTTTGATGTTTCATCAGAAAAGTTGCTCCTTGGAGAAAAGGAGGACATCTTGAATGCATTGCACGATCATGCACGTATCCTTTGTAAAGTTCTGGTAAATTTAAAAAATAAAAAAACATCAAATTATTTTGTGTGTTGAAGGCAAGATATGAGTAGCTGACTGAATCCTCTCCGTATCAGTCATTGCATTGAAAGTTAGCTTATGCTTCTTCAGCAGAGGTTCTTGTGCATCATTTGCCAACATATTTAAGTTTTTTCTGCGTCTCAGAAACTTTCATCTGTCAGAAGAGGGAATGTTGTTAAGTCCTAATCGGTAATTCGGTATCAGTTACTATTTTGTCTGGATGAACAGCCATGACCTTGCCTTCCACATGTGTACATACATGTATAGTACAATGATCTATCTACTGACTGTCATCTGGCCATCAGTTGATGGAACAAATCAATGCTTATGAAATGACAGAGACTTGTTTGGAATGTACAGAGTCACTCCATTATCCTCAGCGGCCAATTGAATCTACCTGGGTTTAATATGTAGAGTTTTCAGATCATAGAGGAGTAAACTGATTGCTGTTGTACCATGTATCAATCTCTTTCTTGAGTATGTGCGGTTCTGAGAAGAACTGGGGAATAACTCAACGGTTCGAACAGTGTACTCTGTCTGTCTTCAGGAAACTGCAGGAATCGTTTTACTCATCTAGTTTCTTTTATCATGAAAACCTTCAAGTCTTACCTTCTGATAACTCAATATTATGCAGACTCCATAAAGACTAAAGAAAGCCATGTTTGATTCAATATTTCGTTCTTTATTCAGAACATCCTGAAAGATGTTCTGAATAAAGAACGAAATATTGAATCATCCTGAAAGATGTTCTGAATAAAGAACGAAATATTGAATCAAACATGGCTTTCATTAGTCTTTATGGAGTCTGCATAATATTGAGTTATCTGAATATTATCAGTGGGTCACTTACCTTCTTATCATGTCACTACATGTAGGATAGCCCGGACCATGTGGATAATGTAGTCAGAGTGTTGGGCATCAAGTTAATTGTAGACTACTGAAACTTGTTGGTTTCTTAACCTGTGAATTTCTAAGCTCTGCCAATGTACATGTTGGATAACTTAGAGTCTAAACTGGACCAGCTTCAAGAACATTTGGATGTCTACGCCAATCAGATAGTCACATCAGAGGCGCTGTCCTATCGCTGGCAAAATAATCTATTCCACTCACCAAGTGCTGGTATGTAAAAGTGTTTGCAAGTAAATTGTAGTGGAAAACACTGAAGGTAAATTGTAAGTGAAATCAAAGATTTGAATATGTCTGAGAGTATGATGGTGCCGTATTTAGCTAACATTTTGGGTTTTTAGATATACTGGGGTCAGTTCAAAATCTTGCAGACAATTCTGCAATTTCTGGTTTCAGTCCATGGGGGATAACAGTTTTCATGAAGATACCAAAAAAGTAATTAGCGTGATACGTGTGGTTTGGAAGAAACGTCAGAAGCAAAGGTCACAACACAGTTATAATGGAAAGCATACTTCAGGAAATAATATATGAGTCAGTTAATGTTCTACTTTTAATTGTCCTTTCAGATTTTGTTCTTTAATTTTCCAAAGTTGCAGGAGTTACCTTTTTTCCTTTTGCATGTTTTATGTAACTGAGCCTAATCTGTAGTCTGTGTTTGTTTGTTTTTTTAATCTGCTGTCATACTCTCTGTGTTCTAATCCCTGCTTAATTGATGCTACTTTCTTTTTTTTCCTGGTGCTTATAACCAGGACCAGTGGTACACAAAGAAGGTACAAGTTTGCTTAATGAGTTAGCTTTACTGCTATTTGCATGACCCGTTGTAATGTGTGTGTCAGAGCTTTGTGAATGTTGGGTCAACTTTTTGGAGCTTGCTCATATTGGGCCCATGTACACAGATAGAAGTGATTACAGAAAGTGTTGATGGAAAATGACTCGCCAGATATATTTCATTGACACACCATGCTGAATGTACATGTAACTCTTTTTTGTACAATTACTAAATTTCCTCAAGAACAGTAGCACCTTGCAGAAAAATCAAAGGGCTAATAAGGAAACACTCAACCATGCACTCTCCCAGCACAGTATCTTTGAAAACTTGTCCAGGTCTCTAAGCAACTTAATTTATTGCTACTTTTGGTTTGTCCACTTATTTTGTATACAGTTGCATACATGTATGTAGCAACTGTGCTGGGTGTTCTTTAATCACTCGGAATTCCGTTTGTTTGTTTTCGTCCTGTAAATGGGTCCTTGAGCAGAAAGATCTGTACGCTAATGATGCTGATATAACATACATGTAGTCATCATCAACATTTGATTTTTTATCTGCTACATGTTGACCTCAGAGCATTGAGTGTGATTGCTTTGGTTTAAGCAAGCACACTGTTTGGCAGCTCCAGTAAATTGACCTCAAATACTGTAATTTTTGCACTTGATTAACTTTTTTCCATGTTGGACAGCTTTAACTTTGTGTGACCTCTGTTTCTTGTCCCTTGTATTGTAATGTTAGTGCATTAATCATTCTCTGATTGATAATTTTAAGGGATTTGTCCAAACTTGAGTGGCCATGTTTTGTCAAATACATGTAGTTTGGAGACCTGCTTTGTGAAAAACAATCTTGAATTTCATTTGCACTGAACAATCTAGCTACACTTGAGTTTCCAAAAGGAGCGTTGCTAATCAAATGATTGCATTTTGTTTTGTCATAAATACCTTTTCTTGTTTTTTTCTTCTTTTTTGGCACTCTTTTCATCTGTTGCACAACTGAATACAGATTGTGATGAGTGATGTTGAGCACATTGGTTTTTGCACACTCTCTCAACTTTGTTATTTTAAGATGACTGACTGCAATCTCCAAATGTCTTGATCTGTTCCTTCAGTCTTTGTTGTCAGCTTCCTTTTTATCCTGACCAAACATTGATTTTATTAAATGGCCTTGGTTTATAGTCATGGAGAGGGCGTTAGAGTCCAATGCTGTGAAGGCCAGCCAACGACAAAAGAAAGACAAGACCAAGGAAATGAGAGCTTTGATTCTGGGCAGTAAAGCCAGAAGTGTGGAGGTATTGAAGCACTAGTTCATTTCTCAACAATTAGTTACTTCATTTGGGGTGTGAGGTTGATATCAGAGAATCTAGAAGATGTCGCGGTGGTGTCTTGGGATGCTGTTGCTTATGAAAGTAGCCTGATGAAACCTGTGGATGAAAGATGAAAACTTAGGAGAAAAGAAATATTCAGGGAAAACCTGGAAATTGGTAGGAACAGGAATCCTGAAGCTCGTGTTGACTGTGATTGGACATGAACAGGGGGGAACATAGGTGAAACTTGGACTAGAAACTCATGCCAAGCTGACAGCCAAATATGAAGTGAGCATTGTTAAGATTAAATATCTGGTTAGTTGTACTGTAATTGAAAAGTTATACCACATGCCATATGATACCAGATATATGTGCTAAGGCCAGTGATATTTAATGTTGATGCCGTGGTAAAAGTTATCCGCTCTTTCAGTCATTCTGTTTACATGTAAAGCCACGTTAATGTTCAAGACATACCGCTGTTTCCATTTTGTGGCTGCAGTAATTTCAGAGTGTGGATTGTGTTTTTTTGTTTTGTTTGACAGACAAGTTCCTTCCCAGGTTTTAGTCGGAAGGAGTTGACAGAGTTACCTCATGGACTAGAAGCACCTCAAATCCTGGACAGAATTACCAAAGCACAGGACTTCAATGTAAACACACTTGCTCTTTGAGCATCTTGATTATTTAAGTTGTTTAACAGGACGTGTTTGATGGTCTTTATATTTTCCTTCAAGAGATGAAACTGCCAAAAGTCTTCTTTTTTGAGCCAGAGTCTGCAAAATACTTCTACAGTCATTATAGTGTATTTCATAGTGAACCGGCAAAGTGTATTTCCCACTAGAAGAGCCTCTTTTGCTGGAAAAATTGCTCCCTCTCTTGGTCCCGCTCAGGGTCCATTGCACTTAATTGGAATTGTACATGTACAGAAAATAGGGATGGTCAAAGAACTTATTCACCCCCCCCCCAAATTGGCCAGTACATGAATCTGTGATATTACAAAAGTAACACTGAAAACTTCCAGCTCTATTTGTCTATCCTTTTTGTCTCCATTTGATCCAGTCTGGTTTCAACAAGTTCTGGAAGAAGTTGTTTTTATCAGAAGCATCTGTTGCTGTCATGCAAGATGCATTCTGGTGGTTCTTCCTTCAAGAGTATGAGGTCAGTAGATTATGCAAAGATATACTTGTTTTTTTCTCACATCCAAAAAAAAAAAAACATTGAAACTAATGGCCCAAGGGCCCAAATAGTTTCAATTTACATCAGAATCAAAACAAATAAAAAAATCATGAAACATAAAATCATCTATGTATATACTTAAAAAACATTCACACACATTACATAAATATCATTAAAAAGATGCAAAATGATATCATTCCATTTAAAATTCATGTTAACTGTGGGATAGTAAACCAGTTATACCACTCAGTATTGCACCGTGGTTGGACTAGGCAAGATGTACTTATATATTTATATAGTAAGACTTACTATATTGATATCAAATTGGTTAGTTTTCTTTGTGGGTGGGGAGGGGATAATTTGCCACTCGTGGTAAGAATTCTGACCATGACTGTTCTGTCGTACTACCTATTACCTGAGCTTTGTCTTTTTAGATGATGTGAAATTGACGGCTAATATCATAGATGTATGTGCCATGGAAGTTGCACTTGCACACCATGATGCATGTTACAATGGCATTGCCCAAATGCTGTCTTTGGGTCTTCAGGGTTCTAATTCAGCCACTTTAAAAAAAGACGTGTTTTGTTAGATGATTCAAATACTTTTCTTCAAGCTTCCTGTACATGTGGGGTTGTTTCTCCATATCAAATAATGTTTGGGAAAGCATTGCTCTGAACCTTATAACAGTTTGAGCTTTTGATTTATTTCGGTTACAGCCTAAACGTGAGGCTGAGCAGAACAAGTTATTCAACAGGATAGCTGATAGCTTTGTGGCTCTGTTCACCAGTGTCAATCCAGACATCAAAGACAAATTTTTTGCTGTAAGTCAGAAAAATTGATTTTACACCAGGTTTTACCCATATGCTGACAAGAATGTACGGTGTGCTCTCAATGTGGTCTGAGTGCTGCAAACAAAAATCACAAGCTTGTTTTGGTGAGATTCGAACCCAGGACTTCCTACTTATGATTACTCGA